TACCCCCAACCAAGCTGACAACCGTGAAAATACCATCGGCTCGTGCTGCGTGGCCGCGAGCACTACCTGCGATATTTTCACTGGATGCCCTACCGGTGAAGTCAGCTCTGGAACTGGCACTTGTTCTGGGCCTACCGGGTGTGAGACGCAATGCTGTGCGGCAACAGGGAGCTGTCCTGCAGGTCAATCAAAGCCAGCTGACGTGACTACCTCAGTGCCGCAACACTTTGTTTCAAACTCTGTCCCGTCAACGGATACCACTAATACACCAGTCTCAACATGGAAGTACACCATAGCCATTGATACCCCAGTCCAGCCGGTTGGAGAAGATTATATATACTATGCGAATATTCTCTTCTTTAATGATGGCGGAAAGTCTTATGCCACCTATAGTGGTATTCAACCAGGCTATGACGGAGCAGCAGCTGTTCCAACACCAGGTGTTCCCTCTTTCCTTTTCTCTGTTTTCACCGATCAAGCTAATGTGTTCGTGGTGCGGCCGGTGCCCGACGATCCCAACTTGAAATGTAAAGAGGATTCGGATGGAAGATTTGGCGTCTCTTGCTTGATTCCACTGCCAAATGTACAAGGTCGGGAATATACTTTTCTTCATGAGAAGGTCGCAGCTGAATCCACGGCCACCACGAGTGTCTGGCAGGGTACGGTGACAGACGGTGTCACAGGCATTGTCTCGACGATTGGGAAATGAGTGGCTTCATCGAGAAGTATGTCTCAGAGACAGCCACCCCGACTTGTGGCAACATGGTTGGGCCTCCAGTTGATGCTCGGTTCACCAACTTTGAGTTCGGAGGCTTGCCAGCGGCACCCATACAAATCTCAGCACCGGGACAAGCAAGTATCAATCGCTGCAATTTGGCACTCGATGTAGTGACCCCTATTAACACAGGATCAGACTTTACAATCCAGACCTCAGTGATGGCGTGTATGCCTACCCCACCCGAACTGACGTGCAGAACTGAAGGATATTGTGTTCTATTTGAAGGGTATGAAGGAGATCCGGAGCAGGATGGCTCTACGTGCGACCTGGGTCAGGGTCTTGCCACTAGCTGTGCGAACGCTGTTTGCTGTCAGGATGCCACTATTACTTGCGATAAGTTTACAGGTTGTTTCTCACATACAAATTTAGGTTCTACTGAGGTCGTGTACCGGACCCACAGAATGTGCTTCTACGTGCTGTGCCCAGTAAACCCTAAAACTAAAACCCTGAAACCCAACGTGAATTCGGACTATCATGTTTGAAGTGATGAATAGTGACCCACCTTATTGTAGTTTTATATAAAAATATCACTAAACACTTGTGTGCGCACACACCTTCCTTGGCGGGGTGCAGCAGTAGCATGTCATCGGCATACTCGGTGTCGTGTTCTTTGAGCAGTTGCAATATCTTTGTTCTGGCCTGACTTAGTTCTAACATGCGTGGGCGTGTGCAATCAGTGCGGGAAATGATGTCAATCATTAGGAATAATATTGTTCTACCGCGCAAGAACAGATATAATAGAGGATTCTGCGTAAGTAACAAAATATCGTGACCAACACAATCCTATGAAGAAATTCTGTGGTTATCTATAGTCAGGCGCCGCATAACAGCAAATTCCGCGTCGTGTGTCTCATTTATCATAGGACACATACCCTCTGTGCGTAAATTCTGTGGACCTCCTGTGGCACTGCCGCATATATATTCGCACAGACGCATTAGATCAGTACTGACGCGTAGATACTCATTCCTATACCACAGGGTACATATATCCAACTAAATATCCAGCAACGTATTTAATCTTTGGCTATGTTTGCGTTTAACTTTTACTTTGGACAATTTGAAAATAACTTCTCTGGAAATTGCAAAAACAATGAAAGCTTCACCATCTCATTTTGACGATGGGATATAAATATTTAGATATCATAAATCGATCACTATATATATATGTATGTATATATATAATAGCAGTAGGCTATAAACAGTATACCGATCTCCACACAAGTTAAATGAGGCTAATACGAAACTCACGGACGGTGCGTAATAGGTATAGAATTAACTTAGATACCTGATTTATTCACTTGCGCACGGTCATATCTGGAACATAGAAAAAATCCAACCGTATGCACACATTGTCACTCAATATAAAAGAAGAAACAGGACATACGGCACAGCTGGCACCATGACTCGGGCTAGTTCAGAAAAAATATTTTGGTACTTGGCCTGGGCTATAAGTGGTGTATTTTTTTCTTCATAAAAAGATTAAAGTTCATTTTGAGGTCAGCATTTCAGTGTTATATCTCGTATCCTATAGAGCAAGTGAAGTATAAGGTGAAGTATAATGAGATTCCTAGTAGAAAGTAATAATGGTTCATTATAATGAGCTTAGTTTCTACGCAGTCGAAATGTACAGGTGATATCTAATCATCTTAAGCAAGTCACAAAGAGGGACACATTAACAGCCTTGTAAATAGTTGTGCATGATTGATTGTGATTATCCCCATCGTGTATGCCAATACCTTTCGGAGAATAAAGGAGATCGTAGTTGTATGTTAGCGAATTTGAACTACAATCGAGAGCGCAATAACATCACAATAGATATAATAGATGAGGAACAAGCGGGAAATTACCAGCTAAAGTTGAGACATAAATCTTTAATGTATTTATACATGTTAAACACAAGCGGACCGTACGTCCATATGTACATGGCCATGTGTAAGCCCAGTACAATGATATACTGGGCCAACATACATAATAAGAGCATCAATGTTTATGATATATATATATATATATATATATATATATATATATATATATATATANATATATATATATATATATATATATATATATATATACTATACACACACACACACACACACACACACACATATATATATATATATCCTAGGAGTTGTACTTTATCCACTCCCCACTCATACAGGGTTGTGAATGACGACATTTCTGATTACTAGGATAGTACATACCGGTTCGTAGCCTCTCAGTTTGTCGGCGTAGCTATTAAACGGGGAGCTCCTGAAAGTGTAAAGAGGAGTCGTGTAAGCGTTACGGAGGGACCCATTACTCTCGGATAGAGAGGAGAAGAAACTCGAGACATGGGATCGGGAGATACCACCTATTTTTAGAATGACTCTTCTATTTTCAGAAAAATTCGACTAATTATACAATGGCTCCGAGACATGGGATCGGGCAGTACCGCATATTTTTAAGAAATCTTTTCGATGCTCACACATTTTCGTACTACCTCTGACGACTACGATATCAGAGTGTAGGGCGGTAGACACTTAACCAACCCGCGACAGTGCGGCAATTCAAATGCTTTCCATCGCCCTCTGGATATAGTCCCTAAAAATTAAAGGCTACCTCCACGAAGATACAAATTATTCACGACCACTCAATTCAGAGGGTCATGGGATAAAATAGTTTATTTACCGTAATATGTGGTCGGAGACCTGTCGTCTCTCATACATTACATGAGACTGTATAAGCGGCACACCGACCAGGAACGGCCGACAGTTTGCGATATGTATATATATATACACATACATATATAAGAAAATATATATATATATGCATATACATACATACATACATACATACATATATATATA